TGACGTTTTCTATTATTTATTAAGTTAATAGACGTCAAGTCGTCTACTATTAACTGTTATTTCTGTTATGACATATCATATTATATATTAAGTTAATGAACATGAAGTAATCTATTATTAGCCAATGTTTTTTATATGATATCTCATGTTATTTATGGAGTTAATGATGGACGCCTAGTCATCTATTATATTATTTTTTCATTGCTTCGGTGTCTTTTTTTTCACTTTTTTTTAAATGATTTAGTTAGAACAATTAATTATTGTAATCGTAAATATCAAATTGAAATGCAAAAGTGCTAATCGCTCAACACTAAAATTTAAGTTATTAAGATTATTACAACTGTTAAACGATTGTATGGTATATAACGTCTTGTTATATTGTATGACATTGCATTAAAATAAGATTGATAATCGTTTTTAAAAAATTTGACTTACTGGTCCTTTATATGCGAGTTTCCAGAGAGAACAGTAAAGCAGCATTTCGACCGCACACCTTGTATGCTGCTAACGCCAACCAATGAAATGGCAACAAATCAAGCTTTATATTACTAATTATTTCATCCGAAATGCTTATATATATATTGTACTTGGTAATTATTTGAATATTTAGTAGCTTAGTTTATAAATATTAGTCATCAACACTTTACCAGATTGGAAATAAGACCTGCTTTATTGTTACAAATACTTAAATACAAGTTTTTGTAGAAAACTTGTGAAATTTTGTTGCATAAACGATTCTCCCAAAGTCGACTACAAAACTAAAAAAAAAAAACTATTATTGATCTTCTGATTTGTAAGTATTTATCATTCTCCCGTTAAATTACCGTTCTGGAGAATGTTAGCGACTCCCAGTAGAACAGCGGTATGTCTGCAGACTTACAACGATAGAAACCGGGTTTCGATACCCGTGATGGGCAGAGCACAGATAGCCCATTGTGTAGCTTTCTGCTTAACTTCAAACAAGAATGTTAGCAAGCCAGGTACAATTCAGTTAAAATCTTATTTTACACTTAAGTACTGATTAGAACAAATTTAGCTATTGTTACCTTAACTGCTAAAAAAAGCTTTCATGAAATATTTCTAAAAATTTAACATAGAATAAAACAATCTCTGTTTATTCTCATTAACTGTAAAGTGTTTGGAAAATATGTTTTTATCATTTTAACAAACACCTAAATTATTTTTGCGTTTTCTTTGAATGTGACTATGAAAAATGTAAGTTGCTTTCACCGACATTAGCTCACAAAACGATAATTTACTATTTTGGTTACAACAGTAATTTAGTATATGAGAGTGAATTACATTGCAATGATTCTTGTTGAATATAACAAACAATTCTGTCTAAAAATATCCAAAGGTATATTATCAAGGTAAAATATAAATACATTCAGCAAGTCATTTATATTCGATTGCATGATAACTTTAACATTAACGTGGAACAGAAACTTCTATAGATGTTATGTTTTTAACTAATCATTCATGTTTTCCAATTGACAACAGTCAAACAGGAAAATACTGTAAGTAATCAAAAGCAATATATCATAGTTGTACCATGTGAAAATGTGACCAGTCTCCAGGATTTAACTTTAAGCATAACATAATTAAAATGGTATAGGTTTCTATAGCCTTTACTTTGGTCATTTTGTAGATGGATGATATTTATACCCTTGAGCTTACATGTCTGTTTTTATTACAGCTACACACACTTGAACTTTTCACACCGTAAAAAATATCAGTTTAAAATTTTAAGTTTCTGTAACTGATATTATAAAAAAACAAATGCGTGTTGCTTTAAAACTACACTACAATGAATGTGTAATATTTGACGATGTCGAGATTGTGCCATTATTCATGTAATTTTAAGTTACTGAGTTGTAAAACTTTATTTTTTATCAAACTTATAATTTGAAAAAGTTGTTTTCTTCATTTATTTACAAGTCACAACTTAAAAACAGTTTATAGTGAATCATAGGTAGAAAGCAGTATCAACTTTTCATGGCTGACCTTTACTGGACAAGACAAAGACTTGGAAAAAAAAAACATAAAAAACGGGAAGCATATATCCGGGTCCGTAAAATATAAAACGTATAACTTATGATTGTCTATGAACTTAAATCACAAGGACCATCGTTTCTGCGATAATATCCTGGCTAATTTGGACACTAACTTCATTTCTGTGTGGCCAGAAATAACCTTTTATAATCGTTGCTCTTACGTTGGACGCTGAAACACCACATTTTCATGGTTTCTGTGAATGTATATTATTCTCTGGTTAATTTGGATATTAACGTATGTTGTTATTACATGATGTTAGTGCTTTGTTCAAAGTCTGCTATATGATATTATAATAGTTTATCACTAGTTCTAAGAACTCACGAATGAAAGAAAAATAGAACATACTATAATATGTCAACCATACTACATGTGCTATATCCAATACTGACGCGGCCTTTCGCCCAATACCAGAGCTCAACTAGGATATTACAAACATAGTAGTTGTTTAGGTGCCAGATATATATCAGATTAATAAAAACTGTTAATTTAAAAAGGGGTTATGTTGGATTGTCAAAAGAGTACAGAAACAAATTGTAACAAAATGCATAAATTATATTTTCAAGCCTACAATTAGGGACTCTAAAAAAATAAACAAACAAGGTTGAAAATAGTATCTATATTATTTTCTGAAGCTATAAATACCTATTTTGACTCCATGTGTACAGTACTTTTCAATTTTATTAGGGTCAAAATAGGAATACATACGTGCATATGCGTTGAGTTGAATGTTACATGTTTTTCAACAGTTTACTGCTGCATTGGCTTTTTCCACCCATCCACCACAATGAACTTATTCAAAATATAAAACAAAAAACAAATGTACAACAAAGAATAAACACATGTACTGATATGCAACTACAGCAAACCAAATGTAAAGTTGTTCGGACCCTCTTGTAGGCAAAGATTGCATCATCACTTAGTTAATGACAGACTTCCATCAACGTCACAGTGTAATGTAACAAAAAATGATCAGCAACAAAGCAATCTCATCAGAATGGAATACTGTTTCCTCTAAGATAATACAACACAGATTAATGCAATGTAAACAGATTCAGTAACATACTTATCTTATTAGGGCTACATAACACATATGTATGTTCTTCAACAGTCTGCTGTGCACAAGTGTTTGCTAGAATAAGGCGACACAAATAATGCATGCAAGATAGACAACAGTGACAAACTTAGTGTTAGCTGTCAATTATCGACAACTTTTTCAACCGCTACCTTAACACCAACTATTTAAAATTATAAATAGCTATATGATATAGTGCAGTGGGAATAAATATTGAATACACACTCATGATTTCAGCTAAGGTTAAGAAACAGTGGAAAGAATTACCCCCGTCGTCTGAGTAGAGAAATCTACTATGGTAGTCGTCCACTTTTAAAAACTTGCGGAAATATAGTACCGAAAATCCAAGTAGAGATAGCAAACTCGAGTAACGATGAACAATAGCGACTCGAGTAACGATATGCAACAACAAAATGCACAAGTTGTAGTTTCCAATTAACGCACACGCCAGGAAAACACCAGATTTTTTTATGACGGAAAGTGAAGGACTTAGAAAATTTCTCATTATAACAAAATTATAACAGTTTTTTTTTGCAAAATTTTCGTGCAATCCACACTACAGTAGATATCACTTGCAATAATTTGATAGTGAAGTCCTAATAGGTATTTGTAGCTTGAGTAGCTGTCAGCAGTAGATCTCCAACTGCACATTTTAAGTTCTCAATTTTAAGTTATCTTGTATGTTGCCTTTGTTGATGCACAGCAATAGGCAAATATGTTTCTAGAGTAAGACACAAACCCCACTAAGCGTGTATAGCATTCTACCAATAGGAAAGCAGCTTTTCAAATAAAACAAATATGTCTAAAACATGGCTTTAAGTAAAACTTCGTGACTTTTAAGTTAATTATTTACTGAGCCCGGTGGCTGATGTTTCGCGTAAACACGCGTTTAACACACATTGAGTATACAAAGGTAGCGGCTCATAAAAACATTGCATCTATTATGTATTTATATCCAAATATTTTAAAGTTTCAACAGGTCATGGACATTCGCAGCGTTTCATATATTATATCTGCCTAGGTTTTGGTGCAAAATATCTAGCCAATTTTGCTGCCCGTTTGTGAAACAACAACAATAATAATAATATGAAAAAATTTATTTTGTCTAACAATCGTGAAATCACTTATTTTACTTATTATCAATGTTTGGGTGGTCTTAAGTATTAAAAATGGAGGTTTTGAGTGTTGTTTCAAGAATAGATCTGCTTTTAAAGATGTTTTTTTCCCGAATGTTCTGTTTTCAGCAAATTCCTGTGCGATCCCTATTATGAACCATTGTTGTGGTTCATGATATTATCAATTTTCCCGAACAACAACTTTTAAGGCGTAAATCAGGTTAATCAGGTAACTTATAATTAATATCAATTTTATTTAAGTAATTTAGAAGTCGGAGTTTATGGTAAGTATTAGTAACAAATTATTATTTATTTCATTTTTAATACGACATACATAGTTGTGGTCTATCAGTAGTGTTTATAAATAGTTACAATTAAAATACCAATATTATAAATTTATTAACGTAGTGTGTTAAATCTTACCCAGTGTTTGTACCATATTAATTAACTATAGCCAATACTTTTGACAATATAAGCTCCATAATATTCAAGGGGTATTTACTAGTTAAGAGTTAAAATGCATGAGAAATATAATTATAATGTTAAGGAATTTTACTGTAGTTCACTGTACTTACTTTCTTTGCAGATTAAGTGAAAAACTTTTTTCTTGATGATCACTTTTTGAGCATTATAAAACCATTATAATGCGGAACTAATGTAAAAACACCTGGCCTAGCCAAAAAAAAGGGGGATATTTAGATATAACTGAAGCATTAGAATGACTCTTGACTGCAGCTATATTTTTAATTAGCTCTTACCGATTTCGGATCAGAGATGTACAAAAAATGCCATTTCCTTCATATCTTTCGTCTGCCACAAGACACTCCCACGAAGCCTTTTATTCATCAGCATTCCTGGACATACGGAGCTAAAAAATATATCTCAAATAATATTTGTATGTAGTAGAATATATAATACACTGGTGTGCATTGCTTAAGCTGGTTTAATGATGAGCCTTTTATGCTTGGCAAAAGTGATTAAAATCACATTTGAATAGAATTTTTTTTATTCTCGTCTCATTCTTAATTGAAAGAAACACCATTTGTACACTGGCTTGTAGGAGACAAAAAATAGATCCGAAAACATAGTTTTATAAACGTCTCATTGTAATTATGTAATACATTAATTATACACCTGTGGCATTGTGCAGAAGTTAAGCTAGGAGCCTTTTTGTAAATACATGAGGGCCTAAAAGCTAATTGATATTTCAAATGAATATGTTCTTTAAAATAATCTATAATTTAAAAGCCTCACAAATTGTAATATGCAAAAAATGTATCTCTACCACCAGCTTCATCTTCTTAATTTTGCTGGCAAAATATCAAGTTGGTTACGTTTAAATGTATTTTTCTACCAACACATCAGCACAAGTTTAGTCCAAAGTTTGTTAACCTGTTGGAAAAAAAGAAGAGAAGTCTATTAACATGACCCGTGGGTAAAAACACGTTGAAAGAAGGCTGGTTAGCATGCCATTAGGCAATCACAGGTAGGCGAAAGTGACTTGTACCTGTTACTCAGTTTCGTCTGAATATATATGGTTTGAAAACTAAAAAAAACACGCTTCGCTATTCCGCATTCCACAGAAAGCAAAGTTGTATATCGGATTTTTCAATATAAACATGAAAAAACACGAACTCGTACATTTAAACAACGTTTGGGAAAGAAATGGAAAAGTTTCAACGCGAAGCATACGAAAATATAGAAATAAACTAATGGCTTAAGATCAAACACAAATAAAGTTAAAAATCGAGGAGGCGGCTTAGAGTCAAGACGACATACATTGTCACATTACATTCCGCTGTCTAGTCTAGCTCAAGTAACTATATAGTTGGCTTAGAGTCAAGACGACGGACTAGACAGCGGAATGTAATGTGACAATGTATAGCTCAAGTAACTATATAGTTGGCTTAGAGTCAAGACGACATACATTGTCACATTACATTCCGCTGTCTAATCTAGCTCAAGTAACTATATAGTTGGCTTAGCGTCAAGACGACATACATTGTCACATTACATTCCGCTGTCTAGTCTAGCTCAAGTAACTATATAGTTGGCTTAGAGTCAAGACGACATACATTGTCACATTACATTCCGCTGTCTAGTCTAGCTCAAGTAACTATATAGTTGGCTTAGAGTCAAGACGACATACATTGTCACATTACATTCCGCTGTCTACTCTAGCTCAAGTAACTATATAGTTGGCTTAGAGTCAAGACGACATACATTGTCACATTACATTCCGCTGTCTAGTCTAGCTCAAGTAACTACATAGTTGGCTTAGAGTCAAGACGACATATATTGTCACATTACATTCCGCTGTCTAGTCTAGCTCAAGTAACTATATAGTTGGCTTAGAGTCAAGACGACATACATTGTCACATTACATTCCGCTGTCTAGTCCAGCTCAAGTAACTATATAGTTGGCTTAGAGTCAAGACGACATATATTGTCACATTGCATTCCGCTGTCTAGTCTAGCTCAAGTAACTATATAGTTATTTCAATTTTTGATTGTTGTTTTTCAGTGCATAGCTACACGATGGGTTACCGCGGAGAATCGAACTCCGGATTTTCGCGTTGTAAGTCCGTATACTTACCGCTGACCCACAGACGGACAGTTATTTCAGCTATACCCATGTCCAATACCGAAATATATATGCCTGTTTAATATTTACCTCTATGTTTTATGTGAACAGCGCGTTACCTAGTGATTATTGTGCTCAGACTGAGAGACTAGGATTTCATGGTTAGTAGTCCATCGTCGCAAAAACGCGCTCTGAACTCTGACGTCGTGGGTATGCTATAAGAATGACTGGCAAAGTTCATTATTCAGTAACACATGAGCAGCCCAAAAGTTGGCGATAGGTACTCTTCATTAACCCTTTCTTCTATTTAACAAATTTAAAATTAGTAATGGCTATGTGCATGTAGCCTTGTGTAGCTTTGCGATAAATTCTGAAACAAATAAATGCTACACAATTCTTATATATCGATTCAAGCAACTTTCGAAAAAAAAATCCGCTTTGTATCTGTTACAACTTAGAAGGCCCGGCATGGCCAGGTGGTTAGGGCGCTCGACTCGCAATCTAAGAGTCGCGGGTTCGAATCCCCGTCACACCAAACATGCTTCCCCTTTCAGCCGTGGGGGCATTATAATGTGACGGTCAATCCCACTATTCGTTGGTAAAAGAGTAGCCCAAGAGTTGGCGGTGGGTGGTGATGATTAGCTGCCCTCCCTCTAGTCTTATACTGCTAAATTAGGGACGGCTAGTGCAGATAGCCCTCGTGTTGCTTTGCGCGAAATTCAAAAACAAACAAATTAAATCATTGATTTATACTCAACTTTATTTTAGAGTTATTTGGTGAAAAGCGAAGTGTCCGCGATTAACTTTTTAATGAAAATCGTTGTACTTTCACAGTATTGACTAGTTTTGTTATAATACATACAGATGTATTATTTCCAGTTGCCTATAAGTAAATATATAAGTAATAAAGGAAATCGTTCAATTAATATATAGACACAATCGCAGAATTGTAGTCTATAATTTCCAAACATTTACATCAAAATGTTATTTTTTTTCCATTACTGTCTGCATATAATGATGCCGGAAACTTGTAAAAAAGGTTAAAAAGGAAAACAAATCATTGCAAACTATTTTCCTCCGGAATATACACCATTTCTGTTCTGAACTAACTGAGTTCAAAAGAAAACAGTGCATTAGTCACATAACTTACTTCGTACGATAGAAACAGACATACAGCTGTGGAAACTTCACGGTCAACTCTGACCTTTGTGACTAGATGAGAGTCTCCAACCCACGTCATCTGTGAACGTTCAAGCAAATTGAGTTTCTTGAAGATCAATTTTATAAACGAATACCCATAGGGCAAAGAAGACAAGCAGATAAATTTTTTTCTTTTTGTATCGAAATAATTCTGTTCCCTTAAAATCCCGCTTTTAAACAAGTTCTATGCAATTGGTCATTTATTTTTAATTAAAATGTATATAAAGCTACTAATAAAATGATAAATTATCCCTTGTTCTTCTATAAAACCTTTAAAACGGCTTAAAAAGCTGAACTAACAGTCTAAAACAACAAAATGAAGCTAATACAGTCCCCAATTCCCTACAATTCTGCAAAATTCATCACAAGCGCGTTGAAACAATTTCAAATCTCTACCAGAATCTAGCGGAATTACTAGGCGTACGTTATCAGTCCCTAAAAAGAATAAGATAAAATCGCGCTTCGCACTTTGTGACTGCGTTTTAAAAGTATGCTATAATAAAGCATAAGCAACCTGATAGTGCTTTTAAAATACTGCGCTTTTATTAAGTATTTGGCGAGAACTGTGTAAAATACAAGTTTGCTTTGCTTTGAAAAGGATTCATAAGAAGTTTCGGGAGCATCACAAAAATAACCTTATATACACCTTTTATAAACAGACATGAGCTGTTCAGATTTATAACAGCTGCATAAGTTATTAACGTTCTTCTAAAACTAGTTGGCCTCTTGTCGTTTTTCTTTTATAGTTACTTATCCTTCTTGGCTGTAACTATCGATTAAAATTTAAAAAATAAACTAAAGGAAGCTTTAGATTCTTATATAACTTAGCTACACTAATTTGCTGAAATACCAGTAAAAAAATTATGTGTCCTTCCGAAACAATGTATCCTGACTTGCATGTATGTCAAAGATAGCACTGAAATATCACCAGTTTCTATCACAAATTGTGTTATTTTACTGGTATATCAAAAGAAACTTCATTCAAGTTTACCTGATGTACCTAAGTTACTGTAATACAAGCACAACAATTAATTAAGTTCCTGGTACTACCAGGTCTAGTTTATCGGTATACCAGATGAAGCCTCATCCATATTGACCAGTTTTAACACAGTTACTGGAATAATAATAACACCTAAAACATAGTTTTCGACGCTATCTATTTTATATTATTGGTATACCAGAGGAAGCCTCATCCATATTGACCAGTTTTAACACAGTTACTGGAATAATAATAATAATACTAAAACATAGTTTTCGACGCTATCTATTTTATATTATTGGTATACCAGAGGAAGCCTCATCCATATTGACCAGTTTTAACACAGTTACTGGAATAATAATAATACCTAAAACATAGTTTTCGACGTTATCTATTTTATATTATTAGTACACCAGAGGAAGCCTTATCCATATTCACCAGTTCTAACTTAGGATTTCGAAATTCCAGCAAAGTACATTTTACAAGCTCTCCTGAAATCAAATGATCTGATTTTTCAGCACCAGAATAGCAACTATGATGTACTTATTTGCTGAAATACCAGTTAAGCACTTGAAACCAATTCTCTACTGAAACCAGTAGTACAGATTTGTCCGAACACCCACTTATGAAGATTCACTTCAAACTTAGGATTGTTTTTAACATGAAATTTACATATAAAGTGGTGAAATTCCATACATAGTGTGAGTAATGAAGTTCCATACAGAGTGTCAATTGTGAAATTCCATACGTAGTGCAAATGCTGAAATTCCATACGTAGTGTAAGTGCTGAAATTCCACACAAAGTGTTATTGCTGAAATTAAAGACATAGTTTCAGTTCTGAGATTACATACAGAGTATCAGTTCTGAGATTCCATACGTAGTTATAGTTCTGAGATTCCAATCGTAGTGCCAGTTTTGAGATTCCATACGTAGTGCCAGTTCTGAGATTCCATACGTAGTGTCAGTACTGAAGTTCCATACAGATTTCCTTGTATACGCTTTTATGTATTTTTTCAAATACCAGTTGCTGTTTTGTGTGTGTGTGTGTATTTGTTAAATTTCGTGTTATTGGCATAACAAAAGATGTTGTTAATTCTTATTTACTAATTTTATTAAATTGTCAGAAAGTCATCTTAGAACTAAGTTACACATACTTTATTTGAACATTGTCGGTATGCCACAAGAAGTTGTATATTTTTATGTATTCAGTTGCCAGAAAAACCAACTTAGTACTTTATACATAGTTTCTTTGGATGGTGTAGGTAAACCAAAATAAATCATATGTTTTTGTGTACAACAGTTGTACTAAGTTGT